AACCACAGCGCACGCAACACACGCCCACACACGACAAAGTGACACACACACACACACACACACACGAACACACACGCATATACACATACACACACACACAACCACAGCACACCGCGCACGCAACGGCAACAGCACACGCAGCTGCGCGCGCGAACTACACACATCACACACACACACATGGCACACACATACACCACACACACCACACACACACACGCACACACCCACGCACACCAACCCACAGACACACACACACACACACACACAGTCACACACAGACGCACACTAATCCTCCCCCTCACACACCACCTCAGCGCCGCTGCACGCACCCACGCGTCCGTCCGCGCATGCCTACAATCAATGCAACGCACACAACAACGCGCACGCGACGCACGCACGCACGCACGCTACAACGCCACACGCACGACGCACACGGCACACGCACACGCACACGCACAACGCACCGCACACGCACACTCACACGCACACGCACACACACACACACCCACACAACACCACCTACGCCGCTGCACACACCAGCAGGCAACGCGTCCGTCCGCCGCTATGCCTACAATCAATCATCTCAACACCTCTCTCTCTCTCTCGATCTCTCTCTCACATGCTCTCTTCTCGTCTGTCCCCTCATTCGCTCTCATCTTGATCTCTCTCTCTATCCTCCTCTATTCAGTCTCTCTCTCTTCTCTCAGTGTGTGCGTGCGTGCATGCGTGCGTGCGCGTGCGTGCGCTCGCGGCGCCGCTACTCACTTCTCGAGCGCAATCATCTGCTGCTTCTGATGCTGGTAGTGGTACATCTGTGCGCTCTGTGCCAGCTTGCGGTCGCCGCCCGCCTGCTTGGCATCCTTGTGCGGCCCCGTCACGCCGTACGCCGGATACTCGACGTCGCTCGCAGCCTTCACATTCTTCTGCAACCTGCAGCAGCAGCAGAAACACACGCGTGCATGAGGAATCATGATCAGCAGGGCTTCAGCACGATGGTCGGGGATTCACTGCGATAGACCACGTGCAGATTTCATATGCAATATCGCAATATGTAATAATAAATATTAAGCATATATCCTATATATACATATCATCATACATCAAGAGTACCATAATAGAAACTTCTATTAGCATTTTTTTTTCAATCTGCTAAATACATCTGTAAAAGGTTGTTTTAGGAATGCAGGAGTAGGTTTTATTACCAGAACAGAGTTCATCAAATAAATCTTTATTTATATCTTTATCCTGCGATAGGATTTTAGTGCTGAACAGAATTTCCCAGATAGAGGGATTTCATCACTAGAGCACAGTTCTCAGGTGAATGGACATTTCTTTATATAATTCGATCTTTCTGTAAGGTCTTGTTATTAAACGGAGCTTTACGAATGAAAAGGGGTTCATTTCTACCATACAGTTTCTCACATTAATTGACCTTTCTTTACATATTTTTCTTTGTATAGGGTTTCACTACTTGGGATGGGGCATCTCTTCTGGATATGGCTTCATTGTAAAATTCATGCTTCTTGCAACTACGCCTTATGGGCTTTACGCTTAGACGGCTCTTATCTCTAGCATAGACGTTATATATTATATCTAGCAATATTTTCTTGGCGGACAAGATTGCTTCTTTACTGGAGCATTCCTTGCAACTGGACGCAGCCTCTTTCGGCTACGAGGGATAAAACTTTCCCCTAGGATACGATTTTACTACGGCTCTCCTATGTCAACACGCACACGGAAACACTTGAACCGTTTTCACAGCGCGAACACGCACGCATATAGTGCAGCAACACGACCACCCGCCTATCCTCCGCCGCCATTCCGTGACGTCAGCAAACGCCAAAGCAGACGCAGCGCGTATTATGACGGCAGTCGACTAAGTGTCCGATTAACTCATCGAAGACGCCTTCATATGCCACTCGCAATAAGCAGGCGACTTTTATCACGTCGATAATGTATGCAAATGATGCGCACACGACGGAAGAGCTCTTATCTATGCTAATGTCGCACGACCATTAATGCGGCTGTCGCGCTATGCCATGGGGGCGAGCAGGCCAGGCGAGATGGAGAGGGAGAGAGAGAGAGAGAGAGAGAGAGAGAGAGAGAGAGAGAGAGAGAGGAGAGAGATAGAGAGAGAGAGAGAGATAGAGAGAGAGAGAGAGAGAGAGCAGAGAGAGAGAGAGAGAGAGAGAGAGATGCGAGAGAGAGAGAGAGAGAGATGCAGAGAGAGATGGAGACGAGATTGGAGAGAGAGAGAGAG